GATTCTGCTGCTAGTAATATGAGAAACAGTTTACCAATGTGTATGTGTGGATTTCATAAAAATGTTAAATAAACGTGATTTACTATAGAAAATGGACAAGTGACATGATGCTTAGAAACTTTTTCAAGGCATCTTTGGAAATACTTTGTTTGTTTACATACTTTTCCTTTCGACCTAATTGAATGTTTCAGAAATGTTTATTTGACAGTAATGAATAACTAAGGATCACAATTACATTTTTTTTAAAGTTTATGTTTTTCTTTTAAAATTTAGGATGCGCTAGATGGAACATACATACATGAATAGCAACAGTATTTTGGTCAACTTTTACCTACTTGTATATCTTTAAAGAAAGATTAAAGAAATCTTGAATTAGTGTTGGTATGTTGGGCGCGCGTATACCCGATTCAATTTTATTACTCATTAGGATCTCTACAAGCCTACCCTCAATTTGAAATTCTTTCAGGTAGGATTAGAGTAAATTAACCAATGAGACCTTAGGCGTGGTCAAATACATCAAACGTAAGGGTTTGAACTCCTGAGTCCAAAACTGTAATTATATTTCAAGGCCAGGTGGTTAGGGCGCTCGACTCGCAATCTGCGGGTTTGAATCACCAAACGTCCCGCCCATTCAACGGTGGGACATTATAGTGCTACGGTTAATCCCACTATTCGTTGGTAAAATAGTATCCCAAGTGTTGCCGGTGGGTGGTGATGACTAGCTGCCTTCCCTCTAGTCTTACAGTGCTAAATTAGGGACGGCTAGCACAGATAGCTCTCATGTAGCTTTGCGCGAAATTCATAACAAACAAACCCAATTATATCTCAAATCGGTCAAGATATGGCGGAGCTATGAGATAAAAGTTTGTACTTGAATAACTCGGAGCCATTCTATGAGTCGTGGCGAAAAATAATGACCGTTTCGTTAGACCATACTTAATGTATGTGTAGTTTTCCACTCAATGCAACAGGGAACCAGTTTATGACTCGATAATCGGCTGGTGAAAATTTAGGTTTTCACAACTAATTTAATCTGTTGTCAAAAAGTTAAATTTTATCAGATAGAACTTTCAAATTTCTACATTCATGTCAACGTACTTGATTTTTTTATACCTGCATTATATATTTTTGTGTCACTTATTAATTTACGCCTCCCAGTGGCTCAGCAATAAGTCTGAAAGATTTATGGTTAAAAACCGTGGTGGGCTCAGCACAGATAACCCATTGTGTGGTTTTTGTGCTTGACAACAAACAGTAATTCTTGTTTACAATCTCTCGAAGGGAAACAAGTGTAAATTCATTTTAGAGAGGTTAGTTTTATTTAAAAGGTTTTGTCTCTTTTGTTTTGATCTTTAGTATTTTGTTAAACCATACAGAAGGAAGTTGATGAAAAAATTTTGCACCACCCAATTTTTTTCACACGTTTTTGGTTCCTGTAATTTTTTACCAGATTGTGCATCGTGGAAGTGTCAGAATTAGTGTAAAACGGTTATGGACATTGTATAGTGTAAGCTGACTCGTATTTTAGTCACCCAAATATTCACACACCTATATCTATCTGTATATATGCATCTTTATTAACAAGCCAATTGTGTCGAACGTATTACAGCAGATGATCAACAAATACGAAAATGTTCTCTGAGTAAGAAAACCTAGATTTAAAGATAACGTCACAAATGTAATTGATAAAAAGTGGTCACAGAGTTTGTTTCTTAATTTCATATTTGGTTGATAACTCCCGACATTGCCGTTTCATAGAGTGCACGAGGAATAGAATATAGGCAGGAGTGAATTCATGATGCCACACGCGGATTAGGGCTTCCTGCAGTTCTAAAATGATTCTTGGTTTCTTCTCTTGCACTTTGTTACCTATTTAAGATTGTAAGGGGAATTTATAGTGTTGATGCATTATCTTTTTTCTTATTTAACAGTGAAAATAGTAGGTCTAGGGGACACCAATATACATTTTGGCAGGTCAGGAGCCATCTTCAACTGACACAGTTTTATTTTTCTAACAGGGTGGTGGGTCTTTGGAATGGGTTGACTTTGCATGTTGTAGAAGCAGTAAATTTAAGTGAGTTTAAGAGAAAACTTGATAACCACATGAATGATAATGGCTAACTTTAAGATTTTTAAAAATTTATTTATTAATAGCTTTAGTTTAGTTTAGAGGATGGAACAGCCGAGATGGACCAATAGGTCCCATGCTGTCCCAAAACATTATGTTATGTTATATTATGTTAAGACAGTGTAGGCTAAATGACACGTCTTAGTCACTGCCAAATGCTTTACGACCCTTTTCCTCTTTTACTGACAACTAAATATAAACCGTTACTCATGTATTAGTAAATAATTTTACAATTTCTGATATCTACAAATGAAGTTACTTTAGATATGATTTTTTTTTACCAAGTACTAGTAGTGGTATCCAGATGCTTTCTGGTGCCATCTGCAGTATGGCAAGTTCGTAGAAAGAACCTTTTAGTCAGTCAAGAATATGATGATCAAACATTTCAATCCTGAATGAACCACCTCCCGTGTGTGATGATGATGATGTACAATTTAGCCAAACAGCACCCTACTGGCTATAACCTCAAACGAATGGCACTAAGACAAGAGTAAAGATTCTGGTCAATGTCATATGTAGCATACTATTGAAAAAAAAAGAACCCTAATAACATGATAGGTGACTGTGCACTGCAATAGCTGATGTTCATTGCTATGCACGTTAGCAAATAAGGAAATCCACTATAGCTGAACGTGAATAAGAAGGTGGTCTAGAAGAATCACCTCAATGAAGAGACTAAGTATGTCTTTGGTATACAATGACGTTCAGACAGCCACTCGGATACTGTTGAAGAGGTACTACTGTTGGCTGTCTCAAAAATATCAAAGCCAAAATGTTGTTGTGATATACGAGCTTATCATGTGTTTTACCACCATCTTTAGTGATGTAGAAAAATTTTAAATATTTGTCTAGTTTTGGCATAAAATTCGTAGCCCGGAAAATCGTTGAAATTGTTTAGTTCTAGTTGCCGTGCGTTTTTGAAATTCTCATATCAGATAATGCCTACTTTACCTGCAAAAAAGCTGCAGCATTCTTTATCTGGTTAAGTAGATGATGCATATATGTTCCAGCCGACGAATGTTGTGAGAGAGTGACCAATCACTTTGTGACGCCATCGTAAAAGAAAGAATACGAGCTTATATCGCGAATAGTTCTGTAGATTAATCTAGAGAGAATAAATCCTGAATTTCTATTCACGAATCCAGTCGAGGCGACTGTCTAAATGTATATGCAAGATTGCAACTTTCTCCACAACCTTCTTGTTTGATCTTCTCCTTATTAAATGAATATATCTGATACTTGCGTTGAAATCAGTTTATCTGAGAATATCACACTGTTATATAATTAACCCACTATAAAAAATAATTCAATAAATCGTCGCTATTTCCACCTATAATAATGAGACGTATCTTGTCTTCAGAAAACATTCTGACGTTAAATATGAATAGCAAGCTTTACTTAAAGTCACAAAAAAAATTGGTTAATGACCAATCCACAAAAAAACTTAGGAATAATATTCCATCATATGCATCAAAACACTGATCTGTAGATCTCGCTTCGTCACTATAAGGTTTTATATATCACAATAATTTAGATGTTATAAATAACTGACGTAAGTTAGCGTTTTGACTGCAGCTTTGTGTGTTGCATACCTAGACGACGTAATGAGCTTCAGTAGTGAGCGAAAGACCATGTTGGCAGTGGTGTTTAGGCGAAACGTGAAAAGGTTCTTGTAATTGAAATTTTGTATAGGGCCAATTAACAAAGATCTGTTAAAAATTATTATTAGTTATACTGTAATATAATATCAAGTAAAACGCGATCTATATAGCTCACTTCGACGACATAATTTGTTATATAAAATAATAATTAAGCTCTAGTTTCTTGCTGTAAGTTAGTAAATATGTTTTTTTTTTCTCGCTTTCTTGCGTAACAAATAAGGTAGTGGGAAAATTGTATTGACGTTTCATAAAAAAACAAAAACAACAGAAAACCATAACAATAAGGTAATACTTTTTTTATTTAGAATCCAGAAGGAATGAGTTTATGGAATACAAATTTACAGATGGCTCTGATACGCGTCGATCAGGCTTAAGTTAGAGAACTAGGAGGGGTGCAATTATACAATTGCTTTCAACAATTAAAGTGATAGCGTACTACTACTAATGGTAGTACGTAGAATATCGTGAATTCATAGGATTGTATATGATGGAATTGAAACTACGTTCTAATTTTTATAATTTGTAACATTTATGAGACATACACTGACTCAGTAAGTGTCTGGTAAGGAGTAGATACATTAATTTCAGTCTTTAGATTAAAATTAAAAATAGACTAAACAAATTTGTACTACTGCTAGTAGTAGGAGTAGTATAAATTCGTTTAGCCTATTTTTGAGTACTACTAGTAGTAGTAAAGTTGTAGTGACTATTGTACTTCCTATAGCACAAAATCCACGTAAGGCGTTTCTTACATTTAGTGATTTACATGGATAATCTTCGTTGTCACTAGGCATTAACTTAATGATTAAGTCCGAGGAATAAAATCCCATTTTCCCTTCTCTGTACAGTATAACCAATACGTCAATACGAAATTTATTTGTAATCCTTTTACTTTTACATACTATATTTCACCTTATGAAAACAGCTTTTAAATGTTTTGTGGAGAGTTATTTTAAAAGGGAAATGTAAATTAAGTACCTTACATTTGACGAATTTTCCAGTTTGAATGGCAATGTCATTATTATTCTTTTAATATATAAATATGATAATGAACAGAGCTGATTGTCAATTTTAATATAAGTTATTAAAATAATTCTTTATAAATAAAATTAGGAGTAGGTGTAAGAAGTTGAAGTATTCGATTAAAATAGTTACAAGTTATACCACTACCAGTTTTGCATTATGCTTATTAGTAACATTGCATACAACTACAAAGAAAAACAGAAGTAATGTTTTTCTTACAAAAATACCAAGTAATGAGTGATTGTTTATAATATCACAGTTTTCATGCCCAAAGTCAAGGTAGATTATTGTAAATGTGAGAGATTGTATATAATTTTTAATAATACTAAGTATTAAGAACTTCATAGTATTGCTAGCTAGTTTGGTCTGTAAAAAAGACTTGCCTGCTGTTACAACTATAAGACTAGTATCTTGTTTTCTTCAGCAGCCATTTCTTTATTATTTTTTTGGAGGCTTTATTGTGTGTGTGTGTATATAAATTAAATATAAAGTAATAACAAACCTCCCAGTAAAACCTTTAATATCCCTAAAAAAAGTTATTTTCATTCTCATCTTTTATTTCCTTTTTTTTAATTCTTAAAATAGACCAGGAACATTTAAAAAATAATCAGTTTGAAGGTAAATTTTAATTGTAAAACGAAAATATTGCCACAGAATTTCTGATACCATTAGTACAATATTATCGATGAATTTATTGTAATTATTAAATACAGGTATGTGGAATTATAATGATTTTCCAGGAGTTTTAATTGGAAGAATAATTCAGACTTCACTGTCAGCATTATTAGAGTTTTTATGGTAAAATCTGTGGCATTACACACATTAAAGATTTTTCGTTGAAATTTTATATATGGGTGGAGAAATTCATATTTATTATTATTAATTAGTCAAGCATAAGTCATTAGAATAATTCTTTATAAATAAAACTATGAGTTGGTGTAAGAAGTTGGAATATTCTTTTAAATTATTTACAGTATTTTGGTTTGTGAAACTACAATTTGTTTTTTATTTTTAGGAAAGAAACCTTTAAAAATCCTTTATTTTCCTTGTAATAATATTGCTATGCTAATCATTTAGCAATTATAAGAACTTATGAGTGAAAGTAAAGAAAAATGTAATAATATGTCGACTACACTATTTGCTACATACAGTACCTGTGAGTCTTTTGCCCAATATCAGGGGGTCATTAGGCTGGCGGCCTAATGGTGGTTAGGGCATTCTACTCGTAATCTTTGGGTCATGGGTTCAAATCCCTGTCAAACCAAACATGCTCACCCTTTCAGCCATGGGGGCATTATAATGTGATGGTCAGTCCCACTATTTGTTGGTAAAAGAGTAGCCCAAGAGTTAGCAATAGGTGGTGATGACTAGCTGCTTTTCTTCTAGTCTTTCAATTAAGGATGGCTAGTGCAGATAGCCCTCATGTAGCTTTGCGCAAAATCCAATACAAACAAAGAAACATATTAGGCTGGTTGAAATGTGAGAGACATAATAGTGGCCAAGATGCACTTCATATCGTTAGTTGTTTGATCAAGAACTGTTTCAAGGTGAACTGGATTAAGTTGAGGAACTTTAATTTTTATTTAATTCATTACAAATCAGAATTAGCTTTATGATTTTTACTGACATCAATTTATATATTTATTTTAACACTTTATATAAAAATGACACCCTTTTATTTATATTTACATTGAAAATAGACCTGATGTGTTAAGGCATTGACTATGGTTGTTTCAAAGTGTAACTATGATGGTAGAAACAAGTACTTCCTTTAAAATCTTTGTTATTCATGACCATGTTATGAAGTTGCTGTCATGTCTCATCCGTGTTACAAAAATTACTCACAATATTTTCAACAAAGTATACGTATGTCAAATTCTTAGTTTCACTTGTGGTTGTTCGGGCATTTTTAGTGCTGCAAAGTAAATTTCAGTTTTACTTCAAAATTCAATATTATGAGCTTTACCATCACCTTGTATTAAGTGCTTACTGCATGGATGGTTTGAACAGGTCTTTAAAAATGAATCACAAGCCAATTCTGTTAATTACTGTTTTCAAGTAACAGTTGTAGTCTTTAATCTTGGAATATTTTATTCCAAAATCAAATTATTTTAAGACTTGTAGTGCTTAGCCATAACTGACCATTTCAGTATTAGCTTTCTGAGCTAAATGTTATGGTATATATAAAAAAACGCATTCTTATATTTACTAGAACACAACATAAACCTTTTTTTTTTGAAGTACCACTAAGGCACAGTTATCAAACATTTTTAGGTGCAAGTAAAGGTTTTTGAGTGTCACAAAAGTAAATAAATACATTTCCCCAAAAAGTTTTTAGTCACCTTTTAATGTTTTTTTTGGTTGTCTTTAAATACATGAACATTCACAACAAACATCTTCTTTTGTAAGTTGTAGTTTTTTATCTGGAAAGTTGAGCAAATACTGCCATATGGCTGAAACATAAAGCTCAGTAGGTGTGCCTAGACATATAAATCTAAATTTATATCTAACTAAGCAGTCGTGGGTGAAAATATCAAAGGAAAAACATTAGCAGATGTGAAACACACATGTATACTTATTACATCAAATGACACACCAGGAAATTAAAAATTAAAGATGAAAATTAAAAATTAAGAGTTGTAGTCAAATGGGCCATTTGGATCTCCCTTTTTTGGGTCATGTTAGTGGTTACACTATCTTTGTAATTAAGTATTTACATTTCATTGTGTGTAAGATACATTCATCCAGTTTAAGAAAATATTTCTTGATATATGCCTTAATATTTTTATATGTTAGCTTTGAAATGTTTAGAAAATAACACTGATTTAACCATGTGCTGTTTTTTTATTGTTTATTGGTGGAATTAAAATTTGTGAACATGAACATTACAGGTAATACTAGCTGTAAGCTTTGGAAACCTAGATACAGAATGTCTCTTGTAACAAAAGTTTACAATAGATTTAGTAACTTCTTGAATGGTTTGTCTGATGAAGTGTCAGTGTATATAACGTATGAATTATCTTAACATTATTTTCAGTAGATGTATGTATATTAGGGTATGAAAGGGTATCTTTAACGTGGAATTTTTAGCTTTTGTGGGTGAGAATGATCTCCTTGGTTTCTTTTTCTCATTTTATTTTTACTTAATGTACTATACTTTAGAACTGTCATTTTATGTAGTTTTCTTAGAATTAGTCATGCTTTTATCAAATCATTTACAGTAATGATTTTTCAATTTGATCAATGCTATATTGTAAAGTAGTGCTGTTCTGTAGTACTCTTATGTAACAAATCATTTTACAAAAAAAAGCACCTGTTAGTGTGATTAAATCAAATTATCCCAATGTAAAATTCAAGAAATACTTTTGTATATGAAAAATTAAGACGAACTTATAGAAGAAAAAATATTTCATGGCATAAAAAGTCTGTCATTTTTCATTTGTAGATACATAATGAAAAAATTAATAGATATTTACTTAGTGTAGGTATCATGAACCATGGTAGTGGTTCATAATAGGGATTGACCATTTGTTCTTCATTATTATATAATATTGTTCCACAAGCCTACAGCAAAAATGGCTGTGAGTATTTTCTTAATGTCTTAAAGCCATAATATTTAGGAGAGTCAAAATAGGGATTTGTAGCTTGAGGAAATAATGTCAGCACTATATCTCAAACCTTAAGCTTCTTTGTTCATTTTTTTTTTGCAATTACATTTTCACTTCAAGCTACCTATCATGTTTTCGTAATTTTTTGAAGATCCCTTATTCCCCCCCCCCCCTTTAGATTTACAATTTGTAAAAATCTTAGAGGTAGTGTTTTGGTTATCTTGGAAATCTTTTATAAATGGGAAACTACCTGTTATGTTTTAACATTTTGGTCTCTATACTGAGACATTCTTCAAAGATTATAACCTTCTGAGCTATGATATTTTTAATGATCATTTATTAACATATAAATTAGAAATTGATACCAGTATTACTACATGTAGATATTTCAATTATTTATTAAGTGAAAGTGATCCTCATGCATTTTATATTTTTAGCATTGTTTTTTAGAGGCTTAGAATATTGTTCTGGAAAAGAAAGTATCTTGTAATTATACCTAAATGTTATCCACTATCACTATAGGAATTAAAAATGACCACCAGCATCTCTTACCATAAGCTATCACATTATCTATTTATTTAGTTTAGTTTTGAAGGCTTGAAAATATTTAAAACTACTGTTGACAATACATGTCCACGTAAGGTGTGTATGACAACATTAATCTTCAAACATAACGTACATGGCTATTGCAATATTCAAGCAATTAAGGAACTTGACACAAAGGGTCAGTAGCAAGGATCTCTCATTTCTATGGTATGCCACGTGTCTTTAAAAAGATTGTGTACTTTGGCATGTTTTTTTAGTGTTTCACTATAAGTATTGCTCATACCAAAGCTGGGAGTGCTATCATATCAAATATCGTGATTAACTATATTTTTATTTTCTCACTTCAGTGTTTTAAATAGTTTGACATTTCTGGTATTCCTTTTTCAGTATCTGTAAACATACAAGTGATTTGTGTATGGGTTGATAGTGTCCAGACTGAAGCACAGGGGATAATCAAGCTAAAACCGGGGTCAAATAGAAATGGCTGGGAATTTTGATGCATATGATAATTACAGGTTTGTCTACAATAATGTTACAAATCCATTCCATTTTGCTTTAATTACTGATGTTTGTTTAGAGCACTTTGTTTTTATTTCTTGTTTTGACAAACTGCAAGAATTAGCTTATTGAATAGAACATTTAAAAATTTCCAAGTCACATAATAAAATAATTGAAACACATCACTATTAGATAAAATAGTCATATTGAACTTAAAATAAAAGTAAATTCAGTGAGTTATGAAGCATGTACTTTTTCTAGGGATTAGTGTTACATGCTCTTAAAAATGGATTAATATATGTTTGTAGTTGGTATGCTGGAGCTATGTCCAGACAAGAAGCAACAGACATACTAATGTCAACAAATGAAACAGGAGTATTTCTGGTGCGAGACAGCAGTACGATTATTGGAGACTTAGTGTTGTGTGTAAGGTGAGCATGGGTGTGTTGCTTTTGATTTCTTGGCCACTTCACTTAAAATTTGGACTTACAAAAGACTTCACTATTTCTCAGTGTTTTTATCAAATCTTTGAACATATTCAAAATGATACATCAAAGGACAGAGTAGTAGATGGTGGGTGAGGTGCATTTAATAAATGGGCAAAAATAAATTTATTATTTGTACATTTATTTTGCAATAAAAATATCTTCAAGTACTATACTGTTTTTAGGAGAAAAACATTTTGCTTTATTTTGTGATTTAGTATGGTAGTTTTAACGTTAAAGTAGCATTATTGTCTGCTTTTGCTAATATTTAGGACAGTTCCATACTCTGAAAGTATCTTTCAATACCAGACCAATCTTTAAGCAACAAATTGTTTTAGTATATTGTTTTGCATCATTAATTGCATGAAGTATTGCAGAAATAATTTTGATGAAAGAATGTGCTCAAAACTTTTAGGGCTAAAATACTACTATGTTAAATAACATCTCAAGATTTTTTTATTCCAGTAATGATTGTAAGACATTTTTTATTTCTAATATTTGACATGGGAAATATTTAAATTAGAATAACTATTATATAAGTGCAGCATATTGAATTAAAGTAATAAATCAAGCTAGTGAACACTATTATCTGTGTAACCAATTGTACAATCACACATTTTGATGATTTTTGTTTGGTTGGTTTATTCCACATGTTTACTTTTTTTTAATGAATGAGGATTTGTCACATTGATATCCATACAGCTGAAAATAAACCGTCAATTCTTTTGTAATTATTACACTCTAACCTAGCTCACTAGGTTCTTATGTTTGTGAACACGTTTCTGGAGGTGGACTGTATGATATTTGAGTCAGCAAGGAAAATGATGCTCTGTTACATGCAGGATATGGATCCAACAAAGAATATTCCCTATGGATAGAGTATTCTGCCAATTCTATTCCACCTTTTTTCAATGAAGGACTAGAGCACATGTCACATGGTTTCTCAGATATTCTTTTCATTGGGTAAATTAGCTCAAGAGACCAGCATCCATTCTTGCAGGCCTACATAATGCAGTAGAAATTATAGATGACACCTGTGATGACTTGGACTGAGAGTATTGATGAAACATGGTGTGCAATCCTGTTCAGTTTGATAAAAAATTAAAAGTTTTATTTCTATCAAGATAAATGCAGTATTGCAACAATGTTTAGTTGTACTTATGTTCTGTTAAATATATTTAACATGTTTTGTTAAAATAGAAATCCTTTTGTAGAGACTTCACCATCTTATACTACTTAGTCCTTTTGTTATTTCATGCTTATTTCAAAGAAAAATGTAATAGGAAATCACACACATAAATGACCAGTAGTTATGTCTATTTCTGAACATTTTTGTTTTTTAACTTAAAGGTATAAAAGAGTATTTTAAAGGAATCACCAGCCTCGTGTAATAGTAGCACATAAGGTGGGATTGCTAACAATGTCTTAAACTTCCAGAATGTCCAGTATGTTCAAGACTTTAACAGACTGACTCTGTTTTAATTTTTGTTATGAAGGTAATTATGATTTCAACACATTAGTGTTTGCTTGTAGCTGTAATTTATAGCTAAAAAATGCCCACATCTGCAGAAAAATAATGAACAAAATAAAGCTCTTAGCTATGTATTTAGATTTATTAAACACAGTGTAATAAGTTTACATACTTTCTAACTTCAGAACACTATACATACTTGCTTAACATGTTACTTAACATGTTCAAACATAAAATGAATACTATTCATTGTAGACCAGTAATTCTTAATAGATATACCAATGAAACCATGTGGAATAGAAATCCATGGTCACCAGAGGTTTCTATTTGTTCAATGTAGCCACTGTTCATGTCAGTAATGCTGTGCATCCTTGGATGAAGTAACAGACAACTGAAAGTTATCCAATATTCAAAATGACTACATGCTGTCAGTTGGAATTTGTCAAGTCTGTAAATGTATATGATGCTTCACAATATACAACTGACTATGTGTCAGGTTTTGAATATGGGTTGCAGATTCTTTACAGTAGGTGTCTGTGACTTGTTGGGGATAAACTTGAACAATAAACAGACAGCACACAATCCACTTGTTTTAAAATAATATATTCAAAACAAGTCAAACATATGTACAAAAATTTTTTACACTATGGGATGTCACAGTTATATCTAAAACTCTCAATAGTTCTCTTTTCTTGTCAAAAGTCCACACAGGCTGTTTCAAGTACTTTAGAACCCAATTGACAAGATTAATTATTTTTCTCTACTGTTTCTTATTATACAATCTGGGATAAATTCACTTGTTATTCCATGGGTTACCACAGTTGTATCCAGAACTTCAATAATTGTCTCCTTTTCATCAAAGTCCATACAGGTGGGTTCAGTTACTTTAGAACAGCCTTTGACAAGACAAATTATTCTCTTTATCTCTGTTATAACAATACCACTGTGAAACTCACTTTAAATATTACCTGTTATGGCTAAACAAACAATTACACAGACTAACTTCACTTTCACTAACTGAACATTTTCTTACTTAACTTGCACTTACTTGGTTGCCTATATATATATATTAACATTTCCCAACTGAGGCCTAGGACTTTTTACAAACTATGAAACACTATGGTGTAACAATACTCATTTAAGGCAATGACAAAAATACAGGTTTGAGTTATGTGATGTCAAATTACAACAATTGAACTACACACAACATACGACTCTTACCAAATTACATAACAAAATTTGTCATAACTATCACCTTCGAAATAATTGATTTTAACACTTTTGTAATGAAAACTAAATAATCATTAAATATTAGATCACTAAATGAACTAAGTAATAACTAAACAGTCTTGTATATCCAACACTATGTATCCCCATAGCCAAAACCTGAGTTGGCCATCTGACAAAGGTGCAGGCCACCATTGATATGAATGGTGGCACATTGAGCAAAAAGCACCATTCAGTGAAAATTTTTGGTCATTGCTTCCATTAGTGGACATCTTGGTGTATAATAGACCCAGAAGTTTCATATGGATGTTGAAAATTGAATGTTTCGAAGTTCCTGAAATGTCAATGTCTTAATCTCGCGTGTCCATAGACCTAACAAAAAAATCTTTATTTCTGGTTTCTGATCAACCCCGTTTTAATACTTTGCCCCTAAATATTTTTAACTGTTTTTTGAACTAAGATTTTTACATTAACTTAAAAATCGAAACAGCTTTTTGAATCCTTGTAGTGGTTGAAAGATTAAATAGTGACCTTCAATAGTCCATCTCTACAATTAGTGTAGAGAGAAGTATGTTCATTTGGCTATTGTCATAACTCCTTGCAATATTTGTAATACATCTGCACTGTTCATGAGACTAACAGTAACTACATGTCCAGTCAAAACCATCTGTATTTTAACATGCAATGATGCACAGTTACAACAGCATTTAGCCTACAGCCCAAGTTTTTCAGTTGGACTTAAAAAATTGATTTCTTGGATGTCCTAGACTTTCTGCATTTGCAGCTTAGTGGAATGGCTGTTTGATGATCATGGACATATATTCCTCGTGATCTCGTCAGTTTATTCACCAAGGATTATTGGTCCACGACAGGTAGTATACATTTTATTGTAGTTCAAACACACCAAAAACTCAGCACATAAGCTTTGTCTTTTTTTGTGGTATCGCTTCAAAACATAAACGTAAACTTTCTAATTTGTGTTAGCTGTTGTTTATTAGGTCTTTGTATATTAATTCAAGTGAGATAAATTATTTTGAAAAATAATACTGTTGTAACAACATTGATAATTGAAGACTTGTGGAAAACATGGTACATATACATTCAGTGTTCTGTGAAGCAATTAAATTATTTTGCTTATTGTGTTTGATAACAGCTTCTTTCACCCTTCAGTTTTATATAGTATGTTTTTTCTCTGTAGGGAAGACAATAAAGTCAGCCATTACATTGTTAATAAGATCCAAGAGGGTGATCAAGTTCGATACAAAATTGGAGAGAATTCATTTCCTGATGTTCCTTGTCTCTTGAACTTTTATAAACTTCATTACCTAGACACAACTCCTCTTACTACACCTGTAAGTTTTTTTTTATCACCTGAAACACTGCCATTGTAAATTTTGCTACTGTGGCAAAGTTCTCATAAGACTTGTAGTATTGCATATAATTTTTGTTAAAATTTTGGAAATTTACGTAGTTATTCTCCTACAAATGTAAGTTAATGTACTGTCTTTCCTGTAGACCTAAAATAGTAACAAATTTTGTATCTCATGTGTCATGTTAATATTCATATTTTAAGCTTTTTTAGTAAGGCTCTAACAAAGAGTAGATTTTGACCTTTAAAAGTTTGGATTACATTACTGAATGATGGCTTGAACCTTTGATAGTATTAATGTGCATAGTGTACTGATTATGTTACCATAACTACTAGCTTATATTTGATTATTTTACAGGTAGTACATATAACTAAAGTAAAATATTCACATGGGATTAAAAAATATGTATAGAACAGTAAGCATATTTTAATAAAAATAAAAAGTACACAGTGCTCACGTATATGTATTTCATGCTACGTGTAACACTTATAGCTACATACGGTAAGCTTGTTTTACAAGAGCACTGTACTGTGGCCAATTAAATGAATTGCAGCTGAACTAAGCAAAACAAATCTTTATTTAACAGTCACCATTCCAACTAAGCTAACAATCATATTCTTTTTAACACATTGTTGATTACTTAAACACACCTAATAAAGATGATAATAAATAAACAACACACAGTAACACTGACATTTAATTAGAAAATAAATACAGACCCTCAACTATAAGAGAAAGTTACATTTGAGTGTGTTATCATCAGTCATATTGTATTCTAATTAAGCACATAGAGAGGGAGGAAGTGTTGAGTTACATCAGTGCTCTTCTTTCAACATTAATGGGGAAAATACCATTTTGATTTTAGGTACAAACATTTCTTGACTTTAATAGTATAAACACAAACTTAAAATAATTGGTCTGTGCTCTTTTGTAAAAGAATTTGTAACAAAATATATACGTATGTATGTGTTTAGGAAGTTTTGATGAAATATGACGAAGATGAAACTTATTTTATGTAGGTTCCTAGAAAACTTGAGAAGGTTAAAGCTAAATATGACTTTGATGGAAGTGTAAGTTTTTAATATCTGTTTTTGTTTTTTGTATTCTTAAAAGTTGTGGCATAAGTGAGCTGAAAAAAAAAATTGCAGTAGACTAAGATGTTATGAAAACTTTAGTAGGTTTTTCCAAACTTTTGATTTGTTCTCAGTATTGAAAAAATTCTGTACATGGACGTAGTCTCCGTGGCATAAGAAACTAAATGTTAAGTTTAGTCTTTTTCCCATTGGTCAGTTATTTAGACTTTTTTGTTATATTTATTTTGGTTATTTAGACTTTTTCTATGTAGATAAACATTGAAATAGGAAAAGTTGCCAGCGCTGGTTGAAGTTCACCCTGTGCTGGCTTTTTTTTTTGCATTTTGGCTACTTAAATGTCACAGTTAGTTGCCAATTCAACTATTGGTGTGTGTATATTTGTCTCTCTTTATATATACATACATATATAAACTAACTAAACCAATGTAACATTTAAAAGCTATATATTTTCTGTTTATACATGCTTGGCTCCTCTAATTATATTTTATTTTCACTGAAATGAGGCTCTGAAAAAGGACTCCGAAATAGATCTTTTAGTTAATATAGATTTCCACATAATTAGTTTTTATTTTAAAATTCCCATATTTCTTTTACCCCGAGTATTTTGTAATGATAAAGGATACTTGCATTTGTAAACAAAATTAAAAATTTATTAAATGATGAAATGTACTTACAATGGCTATTTTAATGATATTGGTGAGTTTAAAAAATCATTAGGGAAGTTTTAGATAATGATTGCTTAGTGAAATTATTTAAATAAAAAATAATTGTAATTAAGGCTCATTTTTTAATGACATTTCACTTTCATACATGTATAATTTTCTAGTAAATAAAATCTTGAGTTGAGAGTTTTAACCCAATCATCCAAATATGAACTGCATGTATCTGTATAAAAAGTAGATAAATGATAGCTTATTAAAACAGACAGATGTTTTCTTATTACTGTACATTGCATATGATGATCTACATGAATTGGATGTTATAGATATCTTTTCTTTCTTCAGCTGGATAAGAGAGAAGTCACATTTGTTTACATTCTCCTTTGTTTTTGATACATATATTTTTTTCATCCTTCCACTGTGTAAGGAAAAGTCAGGATTGTCTATGTGCTTAATAGTGTATACTCTTTACTTTTATGCATATATATATTTTCATGTTTTGGCTGTGAATTGCCCATAGTAATGTTGATTTTTTTTAATAGTTGTTGACTATGTAATTTTAAAGCAAGTGGTAGAATGGTTTTTTCATTCTTAGTGACTTTCTTTACAAGAAAAATAGTACTGTTTTAATCTAGCTTAGGTTATTAATATATCTTAAATAACTAATAATGACAAATAAAAATATTGAAAAATGAAGTACAGTATTTAATAGCGAATTTGAGTAATATTAATAAAAAAAATTATTAAAAAAATATACACTTTTGTAAGTTGCCAAATAGTGTAGTATATTTTTGCTGCCATAACATAAATTCAGAAAGTAACTTTTTAAAATAGATATAGAAAGGTGCTATTTTATAGTATAATTGTAAAAACTAAGTGCAGTTTTTCATGTAACAGGGAGATCCTGATGATTTACCATTTAAGAAAGGAGAAATCTTAACAATCTTATCCAAAGATGAAGAACAGTGGTGGACAGCCAAAAACAGTGTGGGTCAAAAAGGATCTATTCCTGTACCTTATGTTGAAAAGGTAAGCAATAATAAAGTAATTAACAATGTTTAAAGGTTTTTATGTTCTTAATTTGTTACTGACTGCTGAATGAATTAGTAAAAAAATCAGAGAAGTCTTTACTCTTACTGTGCCTTCACAAAAACCGTATCTTTCTTTAAGTGTTTTACACTCGCAAAAAATAAACCTATCATTCTATAGGTATTTGAAGAATTTGTAGCATTCTGCCACAATTTAATTCTTTGTATTTTTAGCCAACATGAGGCAGCTAATACATAGTTGAACAGAGTTGTTTAAATATTTGTTTAACAACAAGTAAAAGCTTGGAATGTTACTTTGAGAAAATAACCTTTTCCTATAGAGAAAAACTTTTGTACCATGGTTGGTAAACTTAACATTGCTGTTAGGATCTGCTACTAGACTCTCATCATACAATAGAATATAAATATCAGTTAGGGTTTATAAAGCATCCAATACTTTGGAACTCCTGAGAGATGTGTTAGTTACCTTGTGAACTTAAAATGAAGAAAGCAATGTTATCCATGCTCAAAAATCTATTTTAAGTGAAAAAATGTAATACAGGGTAACTCATTACCGTAATTGTTGTAAAGGGAATATTTTGTTACTCGTGGGCTATCTTATCTATATTTTTAATGTTGAACTGAGGAACATCACATAATTAATACCTCCTGTAATTAGACAAGTTAACAAAAACATCAGTGTCATTTCATTTTCGCACTTGGTCGGGACAAACTGACCATAAAAACAAGTTATTGAGGTCATTCACTGCTCTTACTTGTGTTTAGTCTTAATAAGGCAGAAAGGTAAGGTCATATAGGTTCATTTACTTTTCTACTTATTATTTCTGGACTTTGAGGAAAGACTATAGCTTATGAGTTTGAACCATATATGTTAATGTTCATGGTAGTTATATATTTCACAGGTGAATATGAATTTCCAATGTAGTAGTCTATGTTGAAAATATAAGTACCTCAGGTGTCATGCTCTATACATATACATACACACACACAGGTATTAAGTTAATTTTTAATAAAATGTATTAGAAGAAATATTTTTTAAGTGCTGTTTTAATCTTTTTGATTGATCAGTAAAATATTTAACCAATCAAGTTGTAAAAAGTAAGCCCAGCTTATAAACTCCCCCCCCTTTTTTTTTCCTGAAGAGGTTGTTATGAAAATTGTATGTCCTATTCCCTACCTTGTGAATTTTCTTACTCAGTTCGGATTACATTAGGGACAGGTACTTATTTCAAATGTTATAGAATTAAGTTATGTAAGTAAAGAATTGGGAAAATATACAAGTAACTTGTATTTATAATTATGAATATAAAACATTTGGGGAATATGCCACAAAAGGATCTATAGGACATGTTTTTGTTTAGGTTAATTAGGATCAAGATATTAGTGTAGTGTATGCTTAATCATTCTTCAGCAAGAAGTGATAACACCATGAATTTTTATTAACTTTTAAGATTTTTTTGCAGTAATATTTAGTACTGGTCATGATCAGTAGTTTTAACAACCACACTTTGTTTTTTTTTAAACTTTGGCTTCTATGGTCTAAAGTTAAGTGACCTCAGGGATGTCCAAAGTCTAGTATTTTGTAGATCATCAGAATTAACCCTGAGAAAAAGGCTTAACCCAGACAGTTAACTTTGAAGTAATTCATGTCCTTCACAAGTGTAGTTAAACTCTTTGACATTTTTTTAATCCATTTTGCTTGGGAATTGTTAATGAAAGTCTGTTGATATTATGGTTTTTAACACTTCTACCCTTATTAACACATTTAACCCTTTGGCATGTATTTTTGGGGACCAGGGAAAAATTAATAAGAGTGACAAAATATGAGAAATTTATACTTGATTTATTTATTATTGTATATTTTAGCAAAGAAAGCCTCTACAAACCATATATCATTGGATTACATGTAAAATACACCCATGAAAGTATGCCTATATGGTCCCTATAAGTAGTAGGCATACCAAGTATGCTCCTATGGTTAATAAAGCAGACTTGTAAATAACTTCAAAAATTGGTATAAAGTTTGCTTTACATCAGTAAATACAGGGTTTGTAAAATAAATAAATAAAAAAACACATTCTGATGTAATTCCTAAGGTACATTGATTTTCTGACCAAACATTTAAGGTTATCTGGTGTTTGCATAATTTTGTGAAGACTTGAAGTCATAAGTGAAAAAAACAACACTTTTTATTGTAATTGCAGTGTTAATAGTTGGTTTTGTATAAAGTAATAAAACAAAGTACACTATGTTTTGTGATTTGTTGTAATTATATGTATATAATTAAACAGCAGCACCTACATTTTTTTTTAATAAATGCATATGAATATTTTTACCATTCATAAAAACAGATGTTGTAAATATTAATGTAATTATCAGAAATAAGTACTTAGCCTTAGAGCAAACTTTTGATGCTGTTTCTCTAAATTGAAAACTATATAAATTATAGATGTGTCATATTTCTGCAAAAGTGATGGTAATTCATCGTGATCAATGAAATTAATTACATAAAAATTTTCCATATTCCATTTCTACTGCTTCAGTACTTTTCTTGTCTGAATATGTGTCCTATACATCTTTAATTATATATAAAAGGTAAAACGTTCTTGTGTTTTCTTATCATAAAATTAATACCTTGTACATAAAGAAATGGTTTGGTTTAGATCGATGAAAGTCGTTCTTTGTCTCCTGCTGGTTGTGGATCTAGTCGTGCATCACCAAACTTTCACTCTTCTAAAGAGTTGAATAAGTACAACACACCAAATATTCAGGTAAGGTCTTATAATGTTGGATCAAGTCAGACCGCCTTAATTGATATTCCATGTTGTGTTTCCATACCTGTTATTTAGTAGATATGTTGTGCTTGTTTCTGGTGAGTCTTGTCAAATGTACAGTTTAATTGTATTCATTGTGTAATTTCTTCTCCCCTCTTTAGTGGTATATAGTTTAAAATTCTAACTTTAAAAAGAAATTTATATTTGTTTCAAATGTTAAGACTCATCTATAAAAGTTTTTGTTAAATGTTAATGCAGTTTCCCCGAGAAACTGTAAACGATAAACACAACTCAGTACAAATACCATTTATTTTAAATTATATTTGTGTAATCTTGGAGGCTTAAAATGTTTCTGAAAACATTTATCTGTATAAACATAAAAGTAATAGTTTTATGTAGTTCTTGTGTTAAAACATTTGTAACCTAATTTTTCGTACACCAGTTTTATGTAGAAAACTGCTGAAACTATTAAAAAAAAATATTTGTTATAATCATTATTGTATTTTACATATATCTAAATGTAAGGTTTGGTTATGGTAATTGTTCTTAATTATAAACAGATCTGGAGGTCATGGCCTGTGCCATTCATGTTTTCTGGTTGTTGCCCTATTTAATGCTATCAGAAACTATAAATGTGGCTGCATTGGGACTTTCCTGAAGCAGTAGATTAATAGCCAAAACTAGTTAGTAATTGCTATCAGGTTATATTTAGTAATAATAACAACAAGAATTTTACTAATTAGTATTTAAACATAGGTGATAATTTAGGCTGCTAACTTTAACAATGATAAATTGTTTAATGACTACATATTAAAGGATTATAATAATTAGATCTTATTGGCTAAGAACCAATTAGTGGTTTTTCTTTCAAAGCTATTATTGTGATTGGATGTAAAAGATTGCTGTAAAAATTAAGTCATAAAGAGATCACAAATCAAATTATAAAATTATCAGTTTTTTTACAACCGTTTTACATAACTGTGTATCAGCCTTTTATTCCTTGATAAATACTTGTGGGTGAATGTGAAGAAAATGAAATGTATTTTAAGTCAGCTTACACTGGCCTTGATGAAATTCCATCCAACAAATTTAGCTGTGATTATTACTGTAAAAATAAGTTTTGAAGTGTTTTCCAAAAAACCCTAATCTCCAGTAAAAATTATTTAAAACTATGTTCCCCCCTTAAAAAAATTAATTGATATAGCTTTATATAATCAAACTATTTTGAGTTGTTTTAGCTGAAAAGTAACAAATCAAAAGTATATTTCTAAGAAAATTTCTCCTTTTGCTCAGTAGCAGTGATTACATATGTCTTGCTAAGTTCTGCTTTATTAGTTTATTCTTTTTTAATTGCTTTTTAATTCTGAAACTAATGTTGACTACATTTATAATGTGCTTCTCATGCCGCTTTTAATAAAGATCTTAAATACTTTACTTAAGAAGATTTAATTTATTACTGTATTGGCTCAATTATGTAGAATATAAGGCACCCCCATTTTCAGAAACGATGAGAAAGAAAAAACAATTGAATGTTATAACATCCTTTTTTAGGTCCACAAAATCAATACCATAACTGTAAACAGCCTGCAGGTGTATTAGTTGCAAGAATTAGCAATGACCTTGAGCGAACATCTGCTGCTTACGTGTAGGCAGATGCTATCTGGACATTGAGGAATGTGATAGGGTAGAGTAGGGGGAAGAGGCTGTGGTCAGCAATTATGAGTTTTACTACCTAATTATTAATCAAAAGATATTGCCTTATAAATGGCAGTAGCTGTTTACTTGCAGGCCTATAACCATATAGATTGACTCTGATATAACTATTAATTGTATAAGTTGACTTCAGTTAATAAATGGTACATCTGTTGGACATTACTTTTATATTTTGTCAGTTTTTACTACTAATACATACTTAATAATGTGTTCTGTACAAAGTGGGTAATAGTATTAAGTATAACCTTGATTATTGTGGAAAAATATTTTGCTGTTTTAAGAAGTGACAATTGAAAAAGGCTTCACTGATGGCTAATTCCATGTAATTTTAAATTTTTGGGATCTGCTACTCATCCTTGGTCTTTATTCTGTCACTTTTGACATGTAATAGAAACTAATATGCAATATGACTTACAAAACATATTTGTTGTATATTTATTAAACATCTTTATAAGAAGGAACTGTTTGTCAGATAGTACTCTGATGACTTCACTTTTTTGCATTAAAAGCATCACTTGAGATTGTGAACCAGAAAATTCAGAGGTATTTTCCACGAGTTATTCAATTCTAAGAACTTCTGATAAAAATGTACTTAAAGAAAACCACAGTAAAGCTTATAGGTGCAATGAGGTTAGACATTGTATAAATAGTGTGATCGATTCTACTATAATGTTTTATCACATTGATAGTAAAACATAAAACAAGAGTAGACAGGTGTTAAGAAGACAGCTATCGTGTACTGATTCCAACATAATTGCATTTAGCTAATTTATTTTGCTATGATTAGAGGTAGATGATGGCAGTTTGTTTTCAATGAATTTTAATGAAGTTATAAAATAAGATTGTTTCACTGTGATGCATAATTACAGTAAGTGTACAAAAATAATAAGGCTTGAAATTCTAATGAAGAATTTTTTTAATTACAGAGAAAACTGCCAGCATATGCTAAAGTAATACATCCAAGGGTCCCTAATGCTTATGACAGCACTGCCTTAAAACTTGAGGTGAGTATTCATTCACCTTTTATTAGTTAGCAGCATAGTTATAAACTTGTAACTTAGTTCATGAAAAAGAGTGCTTACAAAATTATACATTGTTTTTTAATTTTAATTCATACGTATGCGATTAACGAAGCATTATTATTTCAAGTTAGTCTAGCAGGAATATTGAAGCTAAAGGTTACTTAAACAACTTAGTTATTTGGCTATTAAGTTTAATTAGTAAGTTATAATATTTTACTGTTAGTACATTAATTTTAGGCTCATTCTGAAAGTTAAAATGTTACTGAAAAAGTTATATGCATGTATTTCTTGAGAAGTTTAGGTTTGGTACTTTTAAAATTTCACAAATACAAATCATAATGGAAAATTTTGAGCATATTTATTTATTTTTTACCTTATCAAAGGAACATATAATTAGAAGGTTTGTGTTTAAACCCTGCTGACATTTCTTAGTAGAAATATTTGTTCACTAGCTGTTGTAGTAAATTACACATTGTAGTAAATGTATCATACAAACCTTTGTATTTATAAATGTAAAGATTTTAAATACCTGTTTTACACTTTTGAACTCTCTAGGTTGCTGATATCATCAAAGTAACCAATATACATCAGAGTGGTCAGTGGGAAGGGGAACTCAGAGGCAAGCATGGCTTCTTTCCATTTACACACATAGAGTTCATAGATTCAGAAAACACCGAAGATCATGAGTCCTAACATTGATCGACCACCGTGTTGTAATTGAAGATTGATGCTTTCATTCAAAGCTTTAGATTTGGTGCAGATAAGAAGACCTCCAGATAATAAGCCTAAGAGTGCTTTAAAGATTAAGTACAACATCATTTGTTGTGTTGTAAACAGCTTTTGTTTTTTGCTATAAATAGTTCAGATGCTCAGGGCATTGAAGTTTCTGATTCTCAGCTTCAATTTGATTTAACCTCATTTTATTGGGGGAAGACATTTGTAAGCATGATTATCTTTGTAGCTTTTGTACCTCATAGTCTATTCATGTTCTAGATGATAATGGTGGTGTAGCTTTGAAGCATTATTGAGCAAACAAGTTAGCTGGAATGTATAGGGTTATTGTGTCACAAGTTTACAGGTTCTGAATAGTTTCAAATTGTGGGTGTAATGTAGCACTAAAGAGCTTGATTGAAAATACAAGATGCTAGTAAATCCCATACCAGACTGTATTATAGTAATGATCAGAATCAGTTATTAAGTAAGCAATTTAATGACCAAAAGATTAGTTTCTTTTTTTTCAGTGCCAAATTATACAATAAAATTTGTTGTAAGTGGATGTAGCATGTATTGTTCTATTAAATAGATGATTCAATACATTAGATGTCTATATTGTAATCAAAAAAATATTTATGTTATTCATCTGTCATTACCAGAGATGTCAAGAGGCTGGAATCCTTTAATGATAAACCATTTTATTTGAAACTACTCTGCTATACTTTTTTTTTTTTTTCACTGGACTGTCTTATGGATGAGAATTGAAAATGCTATGTTGCACCGTGTTTTGAACCCATGAATGATATGTTGAAGGTGCTATATAGACTTAATTCAAATAATTAGTAAAATTAATTTCACATGTTTCTGGTAATACCATCTTTTCTTTGTTTTGAGTTTATATATATATATGACTGAAATATGACATGAATACATTTTATCTTGCTTAGGGAGGGAACTTTTAATTAATGGTATGTTAGTATAGGGTATGAAAGGAAAAAAAGAAGGTTTCTGACATGAAATATATTAAGTTGTACCTACTACATACAAACTTATTATAGGTTTACTTTTATTTTTTAACAGTAGTAAAAATTGATTAATGGTTAAGAAAGTCCTTATATTTAGTAAACTAGATAAAGTTTATCGGTTACTTTGAAATGCTTCTGAAAGTGTATTTACATTGCTAGAATTCTGTGTAGAGTTATCGAAAAAGATAATGTTAAAACCATTAGCAGCCTTAATGTAATGTTTCTTCTTACGTTAAACTCGACACAGACTAACGCTTGGCTTTTCACAAGACATCTTTAGGTATATGTTGTGATTTTTTCCATAATTTTTTGTTCTTTCACAAACGTTTTTTAATTAAATTGCTGTATGGTGCTGTTTCACATAGTTTTTTCATTAAGAGACTGTCTACCTTTGTTTAACAAGACATTTAAAGCAGAAACAGTCCAGAAAACCAACTTTGAACCAGTTGTAGTTTTATCTTAAGAGCATAGTTTGATATAATTATTTTTTGTTTATAAATATATTTTTTAACACCCTTGCTAGTATATTTCATATCTCTGTCATGGAAATAATATACAAAACACAAGATTTATATAAAACCCTCCACTACTTACTTGATATTACAGGAGGAGAACAATATTTTTTGGAATTAGAGATTGTCTGCATGATTAGGATTAAACATTTTTTTAATATTGAAAAAAATATTACCACGTGGTAGCTTTTATTAATGGAGTTTGAAGATGTGTTAATCATCTGTGTTTTAAAGGAAGTAATTGTGATGATCATGTTTTTAAAGTCCTTTGGTTATAGTATAAGTTGAAAAAATTTTTAGTTTATAAAAGCAAGTTTTATTAATATTTTAATACTCTTTTAACATTATGCAGTGTAAAAGAGAGAGCATTGAAACATTACTGATAAAACCATATGTGAGTGTAATAAAAACTTACTGTTTATTAAACACAACAACATCAGAGTTATCACGCTTCACTTCGGATCTACAATGTATTCCAAAATGGAAAATAAATATTCTATAAAACAATACATGCATGATGAGTGAACAGAATTCAACAATATATGTGTAGAAGCTAGTACTAAATGACATCAACAGTACATACCTGTTGAAACCAATAATGTACAAGAAGTGTGAATAATGTGAAATTAAGTCACAAAAGGTGCTTGCCTAAAACATAACTTGAAGTACAGTATAATGACATAGATGTTGGTTTCACTTTTTTTTTTTTCCTTTTAGTATGTGTGTGTATTTATCTTTCACTTCAGTTTATCTAATCGGAAAGTGAATATCTTGTAGTGTCCACCTTTATACATAATGTTTAATATTTTTTTAATTTAACAGTTTTTATAAAATAGTCTTCATATGAAGGTTTATTTGTATTAATATGTCTACCACCTATTTCAAAAATTGGTTATTTTTATGAGTATTTTATATATTTGTAGCTGGAAACAAATAATATTGTACATATATAGATTACAAAGATTTTCATGCATAAACCCATCAATTTTTAAAAACTTACTTAGGTAAATTAACAATTACTGCCAAAAATGATGGACAATCACTAAAAACAGTGAATAAAGTTCTTTGCCCGTTTTTGTTAATTTAAAACTGTTTCTTGGGTCCTCCAGTGAGACAGCAGTAAGTTTATGGACTTACAACACTAAAATCTGGAGATTCAATTCCCTGTAGTGGACACAGCAGATAATTCAATGTGGCTTTGCTGTAAGACAAACAAACAAAGCTGTTTTTCAGTTCCTTATAAATTTTGTTCAGTAGGCAGCTTGGTACAGTGTGTTTGATACTGAAGGGAAATTGTATTTATTTATATGTCTGTTTTCCTTCAGAAAAATCTAGAGTTCTAAATATCAGGATTAGATTTGATAAATTTCCAAGATTGTTTATGTATTTTGGAAAGTACAGATAGAAATATGCATTATTAATTGAAAACAAAGGGCATGCTTAATTCTCAGGCTACTTATTAACTTTCAAAATTTCATTAATGACAAAACACTTGTAGACATACAGGAGACTTTTAGAGTTTTGCTTTTAATTTGTGGACGAATAGATTTGTAGAGGAAAATTTACTTCTTTGTTAAAGTTGAAAACAAAAGTATTATTGCTTTTTTGTAAACATCTAGTTTGATCTGGATACTTGTAACATTCTGCTAAATATATCATTTGTGTATTCTTGTAGAATTTATATATAAACATGCCAGTAGTTTTACTTCCCTTCCTATTGTTTTATTCAGGTGAACATTTACTCAAAAGTAAATGATTATGATTGTCACATAGCAGTAACAACTCTGAAGTCAACTGAATAGGTGGAAAGACCTATGTTTTTTTATTTCATGCACTATCTTAAAAGAAAACCTCTAGATAACAATGCATTATCTGCAATAGAAGATAATGTGTGTTTGTTAAAACCAAAAAATGCTAAAAAACAAAGACAAGTGTTGCTAAAGGTTAAGGTAAAAAGTAAAAATTTGCTAAAGATTTAGGTACCATTTGATCTGTTTGCTCTTTAACATGGACTTTATGAGGTTCAGTTTCTATTTTTTAAGTTTACATTGGCTTTGAAAAGAACAGTTTTTGTGCAAATATAGTTATTGCAAAATAAAGTTACCAATATTAGGCTGACAGTTCAAAAATTGGCCTGTTTCTATTTTGAGTAATTGTTAATATTATTTCTGTTCTTTTTGTAAAGTGGGCAAAGTTTAGTTTCTTAATAAGTGTGACTGTATGTCACGAAATTCAAAATACACACAAATATATATATATATATATATATATATATATATGAATGTATGTATGAGCATATGTACATATATATATTATGTTTATTATTATTATTAACTTTGGAAACAAGTCAGTCCAACCATGCAATATGAAAGTAACTACACTGATTGTTAGGTGAACACAGTTTTATTGTAGGACTAGATCTAAAGTATAAAGCCTTTGTAATATTATAAAAAAATTGCTATGTAGAGATTACTATGGGTTGAGTGATTATTTGTGTGGGTGAAAGGTGCAGCTTATGTTAGAATTGACGAGTGAAACTGAAAATGTACCTAGATTTTTAATACACCTACATTACAGCATCCAAGAAGCAGTCCTTTAGATTTTGCTAAGGTTTTTATTATATATATATATAAAAATTATTTTGTTGTCATATTTGTTTAGATATGTTAAAGCAGCTGAAATGACATGTGTGATTTTTACAGCGCAAGTTTCATTTATTTTTTGAATGTAAATGTAGAGACCTTGTTGGATATGAAAGTCTTTCGTAACCAGCACTCAGTTACTTATCACTAACTTTGGTAATGGTTAATTATGTCAGTTCAGTCTTACATCTTTTTGGCCCTATATTCTGTGATTGAACAGATACCTGCCATTATAAAGATGAAGATTCATAAGGCTGTATAAAAATATTATTTATGCTGAAATGATTTTACAGGGAAATATTGAAAATGTCCAGTGACTCATATTTTGAGAATGTGATAACATCATTACAGAAAGTTTTGAGTACACTTTTTAATAAGCATTAGTATGATATTGTTATTATGTTTTTTTTTCCTGTGAATGTATTAATATTTCACTGACTGGTGAAAGTGCTTGTATGTACAATTTCTCGATTTCTGTTCTAGAAATATTAAAGCAAAAGTTGTAGTCTGATAAAGGTAATTTACAGCTAGATAGTTTTTGTTATTAACTAACTAAGATAATGACAAACCAGTGTTATCGAGCATTTGAGAATTTTTTTTCCAAAATTCTATAAGTTATTGTACAAATCTTTACATTACAGTTTGACTCTTATGTAGTTAAAATATTGTGTATATATCATTTTTCCTTTATCTTTCAGTTATGTTAACTCTTGTTATTTCAGAAAAACAATATCAAGAAGTAAATCACTTTGTACTCCAAGGCAACTGTACATGTACATTATAACATTTTTACATTAATCATGATTGATAAATGTTAATATGTGCTTTGCTTGTTTAACCCTTATGACAGAAAAGTGGTCAGTAAATTCACTAATGAAAAACAAATCGATAAAAAAAAAAGCTGATTATTGTAGTTTTGAAACACTCTGGTTATTACAGAACACTTCATTTGATTGTTATATGTTGGACTGGAGAATGTTCATTTAACGGAAGTTTTTGAAGTTTACATTTAATTTTACAACTCATTTCATATATGTTAAACTGAATATCTTAAAAGTGGGTTTTTTATGTATATACTTTTTATTATTACAACTGATTGTATATTTGAATAAGAAACTTAAATTATTGTAAAAATATTGCCACTTGGCACGATATTATTAATTTTTGAGTTTTGATATTATGTGAACTTGAGTTAGCATGTTTACATTTTTACATCATTTAAATGTGGCTTGAAATTAAAATGTTTTAATTTTTTAACAGTTAGATTTAAGACAAAGATGCTACATATAATTGAAACTTTTGTGCCACCAAGAAATTGTATTTAAATGTTTGCTAGCCAAATCCAGTCTTTTGTAATAAATTTTATAACTATAGAATGTGTACTATTGATTACCATTAGGAGAGCACCTCACAGTTTTGGGTTAATCTCTCCTTCGATATTTTTGTTGCTGTTTACCTACTATATATGTGTTTTGAGTATAGGTTCATCATCATGTCATCTATAGCCATATATTATTGTGCTGTTTCTCTGATGTAATTGCCTGAAGTTTTTATCGTGAAGTGTCACATTATATATATAGATAAAGGATGTTCAGAGAACTGTCCATTTTCTTCTGGAACTGAAGAGAATCCTTTTTGTTAATCAGAAGGATGATTTATTAAAGGAAGGTGAATTGAGATAACAAAAAGTCAAAAAATTATAACATCCTTTTAATGAAATTGACAAAAACGTATGTTTTTTGTGTAGCCTAGTTGAAAGGTTTGTTCCAAGACAGCTTTTGTGGTGGATCTCGGAGAGTAGTGAACAGCCTATTCATACCTCAGATTAAACTTACCTATTTTGTGTCAACTTCTAGTTTCTAATGAAGTGCTTTACTCTTGACATTCTTGGTCGTAAAAAGTTGTGTAGTAGTTTGAAGGGTAATTTAGATTGTGTAGCTCCTGCTGAATTGTAGTAGGGGCTTTCTAAGATAGTGCAGTAGGCTGTAATCAGATGTGGGCGTGTATATCTGTGTATACACCAAATAAAACTGGTAATGCATATTGGTGTTGATGTATTTTTTTTTAAATATACTCTTAATCATTGATGTTTCCCCCTACAATGAATCGGAAAGTTAATGTAACACCATTAACATTCACATTACTGCCTAATCCACTTGAGATGCAAATATAATTTTCAAAAATCTCGTATACATTTTATCCAAGAATCTAACTTGAAAAACTGAAAATATTTAATCGTTAACGGATACCGAAGAATACGAACTTTCTTCTGGTGGCTCAGCAGTAAGTCTGAGGGCTTATAATGCTAAAAATTGTGCATAGAGGACAGATAGACAATTATGTAGCTTTAAACTGAACAATAAACAACGAAATCCTAAGAATATGTTTAATGTTTATCTTTTTTTTTTTTACGAAAATATTTAAAAACTATTATTCAACATAGGAAGACCACGTGTTACTACAATTCATTATGAGAAACTTTGTTTTGCTAAATTTCTCTAATTTCAATTATGCGTGAAAGTTATTTAAATGTATAAAAAACCCTTTTAAATGAATTGGGTTATACTTCATGCTTTGGAAGAACGTCTTGAAAATTGCTATTATTACAAATAATTAATACCGAAAGAAAATTTAACAAACTTCATTCAGAAATGTGTAAGTTAAGAGCAGAACCTCTATACATGTTTATATGTATATCAGGCCAGTACTTAAAAGAAAACAAAAAAAAAAAACTTTTATTTTCTGTACTAAAGTTTGTGCATTAAAAGCAAGTTTAGAGATTTCTCATACTTGTATAACGTGTTTAGTTGCTAGTTCTGTATTTAATTTTTTAGTTTTGATCAGTCAGTAAATAGATACTTCATCATACCTACAAAAGTTTATATGTACATCGATTATTTCAAAAAAAGAAAAAAAAATTCGAAGAACCACGTACAAAAGTATGCAACATTATTTATTGAAACTCCTCGTGGTGTCGTTTCGAGGCAACTAATCGTATTGTTTTGTTGTTTTTTTCCTTCATGGTTAAGGCATGAACTAGTGGCTGGGTTGCAGGAGCCACGATATGCCGCTGAATGTACTTGGAGTGTGTTTTATAAACTTCAAACCCATTATTCGGTTAATGAGTAGCAGTTGTACAGATTCAAGACCGGAACAAAATAGTTTCATTTAACCCTCGTTCTGGAAAAATTAAGCAGACATCACCCATTTCTTTACTTTAAGTTATATGATAGATTTCGATCGTGTGGCATACTCTTGTAGGCGGAGAGGGGTGGTCTTCTAATTGGTTATCCTGCCATCGAAGTTAGTAAAATCATTGTGAATAACTGAGCTAAATTACACCGCTTGTAAATTTTCTGGCTTAGTTACGGCATATTTGATATAAATATGTAATTATAGAAATTTAACGGCTATTACGTTTCATCTGACGCTACCAATTAAATTTTTAGTCGGGAAGATATTACAATTAGTGTAACTGATAAAACTTGAAATTATGAATATATAAAATGTAGTCAAAAGTATGCCTTCGTAAAGTCTTGACTGTCTTCCATACATAACACCGTGCTGTTTCCACCAGATGGCAATACTGTGGATAAGTCTAAATCGTATGTAACTATACGTATTGAGAAAGTTTCATTAAAGCTGCCACCTTTTATATTCAAGTGTAAATTTAGTGTTATGTTGAGTTCCTTGGGAAAAGCTTGTTCTATATAGTGTCATGTTGAGTTCCTTGTGAAAAGCTTGTTCTATATAGTGTTATGTTGAGTTCCTTGTGAAAAGCTTGTTCTATATTCATGAAATTTGTTTTATTTCTGAAAATACATTAATCAGAAATTTCACTGTGAAAGTACAGGCAATTACTAAGAAAAGCTCATGCAGGATGCTTCTACAGTGATGTCTTATCTCTAGGATAATCTTGCACGTATTCACTATGTTGAGCGAATAAATACAATAATAAAAAATGAAAGAAGAACGTCTGTTTAAGAACCTATACAAATTCCTAGTAGGGCGTGTTATAAGAGCTCGAATATAGGATACGTAACATGCGCTAATGATATTTTGGGTACTTTTACAAAACAAAGATGTAAATTTCACAAAGCGAGCATTCATCAATTTTTCATATAGGAACCACAGAAATAATGTACAGTTAAAGAATACGTGTTATATTTCGATAACGTCTAAATAACCTTTGCAAAACTTATTCGAATTATAATAAAAGTTCGTCAGAATACATAGTTAGTATTACATAAAGTTTATAGATTCAATAAAACAAGGTTAGGCTAGTTTAAGGTCAGCTTTAGAAGAGCGATTATGACCACTTCACGAATGCTAAAGTGTAATTAATCGTCAAATTTTCTTACATTGTTATTTTTGACAAGATTCAACTGAAATACGGCATTAACTAGAATATGATGAGTTCTAATAGTTTATATTTACACAAAATATATGTATGATAAAATGTGCATATAGATTTATTTAAAGACACTAAATGACAGGAACTAAGGGCACCAGTTTTAATAAAACATTCACAGATCTTTTTATTAATGAAAATATTCATCCAGTTTTAAAAAGTTGTGATATGTTTTTTCATTAGCATAGTGTAACTGTTCACAATTCTATAAGCCTGACTA